CTATGGCTGGAGCTGTGACCTTTGGTCTCTGTAACCCGCGCTAATGATGTTAATAAAACTGTGGCAAGGTCGAAATTGCAGTTAAGCCTGGATGAGATTGTCCCCCTTTTCAGGCAAAACGAGATTTAGTACAAAGGCTAAATCTTCTTATGGCGTGAACTGCGACTACATTGAAATTTTCATGTGGACTCCCGATTTGGACCTCGGCAAGTTATCCCGAGCTTCCACCTGTTCATAGACACGTACTCTAGATTGCCAAGAGCGTTCATTCATTCTTATTAGAGAAAGTTTGTTAGAATGAATTTATGTATTGGTATCAGCTGAAACCGAAGTGGGATAGCCTTGAAATGAAGACTGTCAGACTACGCAAAGAAGTCCTTACCTCTGAGTCCTTCGACTCCGATGAATCTATGCTAAACTTATGACTATACTGTTACCGACATTAGTACATCAGACGAAGCAATAATCCATGCTCTATGAAACATCGCACCAATATACTAAACCCAAAGAAAAGGTAGCGGGCTGCAACCCTAGTCAATTCTTATACCTGGTCTTACGATCTTACTGAGACATCTCTTGATTTCACCAGCTACCTCAAACTTACTCTGCATGCTTGCAAATAGAAATAGTTAATTCAAGAACAGAAAATGGATACAGTACTAACTATTTTCTCTTGAATTAAAATATTTTTACCTACATATCTTTGCAATCGATTTTAGTTCCCTGAAATGTCTTACCATATGATTTTTCGTGTTTAAGTAGAGTTTCAAACTATCAGTTAATCAGTAATATGATATGTATTCACCCTATTTCGTTTCAGGTGATCAAGGACAGGTAGTAGAATTTAACCACAATGATATGAGTTGAGCTGACGTTTCCATTGAATTTCACATTGCCTTGCTTTCCAAAAAGTTTTTCTCATCCAGGGTGATTTTGTCTAAGAGAGTCGAACTGCAGTCCACCCTGGATGAAAACAACTTTTAGGAAAGCAAGGCAATGTGAAATTTAATGGAAACATCAGCTCAACTCATATCACTTTGCGTAAATTCTTCTACCCGTCCTTCATCACCTGAAACTAAATAGGGTGAATACATCTCATATTACCATATGAGGACAAAATGTTTTGAAGGTCTGATCTAAAAGGTGGGTCTGAAAATTCCCGTATAAAAGGTTCAACTGAGGGAAGTATAAGTTTCTCTTTATACATTGTTAAAATTTTTCACTTCCCAGACTTATCTCCTAAATTGATTGTTCTATATGCTTTCTTCTGGCAACGTTTGGATGCATGTGACTATCAAATAACCTAAATGGAGGAGTCGATGCTTCTGAAGTTATCTTTATATCTACCAATTTTGTGGTTTAATTCACCCATTTTGCCTGGCTGTCTAATCTCCACGTGTGTCAAGTTGACTGGTTCCACCAGGTCGAGTTTTATCTTTCTTTACCCAGTCAGCATTGTGGAATGTAATAATCCAGCCTCTTGATATCATATGAGTAGCTCCCAGCTCAAACATCTACTCTTTTATATTCTACAGTATAAGAACTGCCTTTTTGGTTACATGATGGACTGAGATAATTTGCAAAGTAAAGACTTTTGCTTCAACTCATTGTGGGTAGAAATGTTGTTGAAACGGAATTTTTATGCATCGACAACAATTAGTTGGCAGGGTTTTCTGTCGGACGATTTCTACGGACATTCATTTCTGCCTGCGCACAAGGCCTTCGTCTTCTCTGTTTCACCTTTTTGGCACATAGTTTCGAGCTTCTGACACTTGTTCATATCACAAATAATTAGCCTCCCGTTTCAATTCTTCTTCCAACTCTTTCACTTGATCCCTTCTTTCGTCCTGATTCGGTTTTATCTCGTTTTCCAACTTGGCCAAATTATCACGGCGAGGGAAATGAACGCTTTTATTGTAGTTACTATAATTTCCTGCATCGAACCATGAAAATTGTACAAACCACTTGTACACAGCGAAATGAGACTGCGACCAACTTAGAAGCCACGTAATCTTGGAATTCATATCTTTAATTCCTTTATGCATTACTTACTTGAGTAATTTGCTAAATTAAAATGAGTGATCTGTTTTAGGCGCTAAACACTTTGAGTCTTAACCGGAATTCTCTTTCTTCTGTTCCGGCCTGCTGGCCCTTTCATCGCTGACGGCTCCTGTCGAAATCCAGAGTTGAGATACCCCAACTCACGTACGTCGAGTTCGTCCGCGTCCTTTGGCCCGGCGAGGATGTGGACAGCATGGACTCGGAGGCTGCCAGTCTGCACAATTCTACCGAGACCAGCAACGGTCTTCTCTCGCGTCTCGGAAGCAGCGGCTCCCGCATAGCCACCGGTAGTTGGCAGGGGATTTCTGGAGTGGGAGGCTTCAGGGACACCAGACAACCGGCGACTGGACTTGCCGGTCAGACCACCACCGGCACCGGTTCGGATGGTCTGCCGCCATTGGCACCGCATGCAGTCGCGGCCAACGGGATGGTGCGTAATATGTGGGATGTCTCGCAACGCCAGATGCAGACCAGCAAGGGCAATGTGACCGAGGTTGTGGCCAAGTTTCGTGAAGACCTGGGCTCCGGTGCCAACTACCTCTCCGGGCTCCGGTAAGCAGAGCTTAGAATGTGTTTCTTGGGCTGTCTGCAAATGCACAACTTACTTTAGGTCTTCCGACAAAGAGCGTAC